CTGATGCTCAGATGCTATGTAGCATTAGGATTAAATGCTAATAATAGTGTAATACAACCAGTGGAACATAAACTGTGGGCCATGAAACAAACTTCTGTATGGAAGACCGTGGAACTTGAAACCTGTATGGAAGAACATGGTATTGGATATGTTTGCAATCATGATGCTATACAACCAGACAGAGCCACTTTATGGCTTCACATTTAGCCAGTCATTCACAAGATACTGCTTTCCTGCCTGAAAGAAATGGTAGGGGACCAAGAAGCACATTAAAATGGTGTAAAACTTTCCTGAAGACTGATGGTGTTGCTTTTTTTGGGGTAGAGACAAGAAGACAGTTGGAGCATTTGGTTGCTGGTTTCTGCTGTTGCCCCTACTGAAGCATGATGCCAAATCCCTGGCTTGCACAAGCACAGGTTTTCTGATGAGTCAAGTGTATGGGTGGTTCAGGGCCACCATCTATTTGAAGGACTTCAACATGGAAGTCTGCATCTTTATTTGGGCATTAGGTTGCCCCTAAGGGATGCTACAAACAGGGCCAACCAGAGGGGGAGCCAGGAGGGCCATTTGGCCTGGGCCTCAAGCTCAAAAGGGGCCTCAAATTTAGACACTTGTTAATTTTTTGGCATTTGATAAGTTTTGCAACTTGTTTTTATGCGCATCCCTATTGGACCAAAATGTAACACGCTCTCTCAGCTTAGAGCTGCAAATTTAAGCAAATAAGAGATGTGATTTGGTAAAAGACATAATTTTTTTGTTAACTGATATAGATTGTCATATTAAAGATTTTAAAATGTTCATAAATATTAATAAAAATATATCCATTCTGATGCCACAAGATTAGACAGTGATGAATGTGTCCTCTCAGATCAGCTGATTATATAAACAAATGACTACTAGTGGCTGGTGCGGGATCAAGTGCATGTTGAAAGGTAGAGAATTGTTACATTTTAGTGTCTTTTATAGTTTTACGTCTAGTTGACTAAGGAATTATTTGTGTGTGAGAATTCCTCATTATTATCTTCGTATGGTAACTAAAAGAGGTGACTGGTTGGTTGAGCCCTAGCTTGGTAGCCTAGCCATCATCATAAGATTTCGTAGTCTATAGGCCCAGATTCAAGGTGAAAATCTGTGAGGACAAACTTGTTCAGAGTGTTTTGTGAGGACACACATTTGAAATATTTGGACAATATCCCTCCCTCTGTATTCGTGTCTGTGTTTACTATATATATGTCATCCCTTTGTCTTCAGCTCAGCCTGTTATATTATACCTTGCGTGCTTGAGTTTTGATTCAGTGATAAGGATAATAACCTGACTGTTTCATTTTGTGTTCTTAATTAGTACTCCTTCTTTTAAGTCTTTTCAGCATTTGTGTACCATTCAGCATTTGTGTACGTTTACAGTAGAAGATTTCAAGTGTGGATAGGATGGAGCATCAACAGAGGCCTGGCGGAAGTTGAAAGACCGAATACCATCACATGAGAGTTCAACGTCACACAAAGAAAACTATGTTGCATGGAAATCAGCCAGTAGGGCAGCATCAGCTGAAAGTTCAGTTAAGAATTTACTCTTGTCTAAACTCTCTACAGAAATTAGCAACTGGAAAAAACTTCTTGAGTACATCCTGAATGTCATCGTTTTTCTTTCTGAGCGGGGATGGGCTTTCTTTGGTTCCAGTCAACATATTGGTGATCGTGCAAATGGAAACTTTCTAGGCATAGTTGAGCTCCTCAGCAAATATGACCTACTTTTATCAGAGCATGTTAAACATGTTTGAGAATCGCAAGAGAGTCAAAAGCGCATGTAAGTCCATTATCTCTACACACACATACAAAACGAGTTTATTGAGCTATGTGGGTCACTCGTACAAACAACAATTCTTGATGAGATTTGAAATGCCAAGTATTTTTCAATCATTGTTGATGCCACTCCAGATTGTTCTCACAAGGAAAAGACTACTATGGTTATTTGTTTCAGAGTAACAGCCGTGTTAGTCTGTATTTGCAAAAAGAAAAGGAGTACTTGTGGTACCTTAGAGACTAACCAATTTATTTGAGCATGAGCTTTCGTGAGCTACAGCTCACTTCATCGGATGCATACCGTGGAAACTGCAGAAGACATTATATACACACAGAGACCATGAAACAATACCTCCTCCCACCCCACTGTCCTGCTGGTAATAGCTTATCTAAAGTGATCATCAAGTTGGGCCATTTCCAGCACAAATCCAGGTTTTCTCACCCTCTGCCCCCCCACACACAAACTCACTCTCCTGCTGGTAATAGCCCATCCAAAGTGACAACTCTCTTCCCAATGTGTATGATAATCAAGGTTGGCCATTTCCTGCACAAATCCAGGTTCTCTCACTCCCTCACCCCCCTCCAAAAACCACACACACAAACTCACTCTCCTGCTGGTAATAGCTTATCCAAAGTGACCACTCTCCCTACAATGTGCATGATAATCAAGGTGGGCCATTTCCAGCACAAATCCAGGTTTTCTCACCCCCCCCCCCCCCATCCCCATACACACACAAACTCACTCTCCTGCTGGTAATAGCTTATCAAAAGTGATCATCAAGTTGGGCCATTTGCAGCACAAATCCAGGTTTTCTCACCCTCCACCCCCCCACACACAAACCAGTCAGAGAACACTTCAATCTCTCTGGTCACGCAATCACAGACATGAAGGTCGCTATCTTAAAACAAAAAAACTTCAAATCCAGACTCCAGCAAGAAACTGCTGAATTGGAATTCATTTGCAAATTGGATACTATTAATTTAGGCTTAAATAGAGACTGGGAGTGGCTAAGTCATTATGCAAGGTAGCCTATTTCCCCTTGTTTTTTCCTACCCCCTTCCCCCCCCGACGTTCTGGTTAAACTTGGAGAGTGGTCAGTTTGGATGAGCTATTGCCAGCAGGAGAGTGAGTTTGTGTGTGTGTCCCCGGGGGAAAGAAAAAAAAAAGGGGGGGGGTAAGAGCCTGGATTTGTGCTGGAAATGGCCCACCTTGATTATCATGCACATTGTACGGAGAGTGGTCACTTTGGATAAGCTATTACCAGCAGGAGAGTGAGTTTGTGTGTGTGGTTTTTGGAGGGGGGTGAGAAAACCTGGATTTGTGCTGGAAATGGCCCAACTTGATGATCACTTTAGATAAGCTATTACCAGCAGGACAGTGGGGTGGGAGGAGGTATTGTTTCATGGTCTCTGTGTGTATATAATGTCTTCTGCAGTTTCCACGGTATGCATCCGATGAAGTGAGCTGTAGCTCACAAAAGCTCATGCTCAAATAAATTGGTTAGTCTCTAAGGTACCACAAGTACTCCTTTTCTTTTTATGGTTATTCGATATATTAAGATTGTAGACAGCTCAAAATTTTCAGTTGAAGAAAAGTTTATTTTGTTTAATAATTTTATGAGGAAAAAGTGGAAAAGAAACTGCTGCTCAAGTACTAGAAATTCTAGAAAGTATTAAGTTCAATTTTCAAGTCTGCATTGGTCAAGCTTATCATAATGAATCTAATATGGCTGGGAAGTACAAACGTGTACAAGCAGTTCTGCTTGAGCATAATTCAAACTGTTTTCTCTCCAGCTGTGGAAACAACACACTAAAACTTTTATGTGTTGACTGTGCTGCATCATGCAAGGAGGCAATTACTTACTTTGGAACTGTTCAGCAAATGGACAGGATTGTCAGTAGCAGTCCACAAAACTGGGCAATTCTGAAGTACTATCTTCCTGTTTCACTGCATGGGATGTCCAAAACTAGATGGTCTGCACGGATTGATGGTGTTCAGCTGGTTGCACAACATTTGAATTCAGTGAGAGAGGCTTTAAATTAGCTTGAATCTCAATCTCACTGCACAGGCTCGAACTGAACTTCAGTCTATTCAGAAGCACATGTCCAAATTTAAATGCATTCTGATGTCATCTTCGTGGATGAAGCTACTTACAGTGATCCACCAAACTAATCTGGTAATTGAAGCACGCAATGCTGTACTTGATGTTGAGAGTGATAACATCGAAAATCTTATCAATGACAGTCAACAGATTTGTGAACAATGGGATGCGATCCTGACTGAGCCCAAATTAGTAGCACAGAATATTGGCATTTCATCTGAGTTCTCCACCAATCGCAACTTACCTACTGAATTCGATGCCGAGCAGCATTATAGGGTCAATGTCTTCCTTGTCATGATTGACTCTATTCAATAAGGTCTTATACATCGATTTGAGTCACTGCGACTAATTTGTACCCTTTTTGGGTTTCTTTGGCAGTTCAACAGACTGAGTAATGAAGATCTACTTTCGGCAGCTGAACAATTTCAGCAACATTACAACAAAGAAATCTCAAAAGATCTCAGTGATGAGGTCATCTTCCTCAAACAAATACATTCAACGAACTTTAATTTGGATTGCAAGCCAAAGGAATTGCTTCAAGAAATACTTGAACTTGGACTCTCTGGGGTGTTTCCTAATATCGCAATTGCATTCCATATTTTTGTCAGTTTACCTGCATCAGTGGCTTCAGGTGAATGTACCTTCAATGTGTTAGGTATAAAAAAGTAAGAAATGTTTGTACTGTTTAATGTTTTCAATTAGTTGTTTTTAATCATGTATTTTTGAAGTAATGTTAAGTGAATCACTGGTTTTAATAGACTCTAATATGGAATATATGAACTATGACCCTTGGGCTCCATCTTTATAAGCGAACTTGTTTACAGTTTAGACACTGGAGTCCTCTGGTTCAAACCAGACTAAGCCAGCTTTTCCCGCCAGAGCCAACCCCCAACATTCTAGTCCCTCAAAACTTTTCCTGCCTTAGAGATTATACAAGATCTTGCTCAGCGCCTGCGTGGTGCTGTCCATTCCAGCGGCAGCGCATGCACGGTTGGGTTCCAGAGCTAGAGAGAAGAGTACCATCTATCCCACAGCAAGGCTGAGGAAGGAAAAACCTGTCATCTCTGTCCCCGTCACAGTAAATTGAATCCATCTTACCTGTGGGGGGTCCTGCTTTCCTGGTGTCCATCATCCCAAAGGGTCTCCCCGCCTGCACCAAAATCCAGCAGTCGTCGGGACTCCCCAGTGGTCCTCCTCAAAGGCTTCCAATTAGTTGGAGAGTAGAAGGTCTACTCTCATCAGCATCCCCTGGAATCTTTGAGTAACCAGCAGAACCTTCTAAGAACCACTCCATCCATCCTAGCAAGGCATAAAAACAGCCTCTACAAGACTGCTGAAGTCTTTTGTGCCTCATAAAAAGAAAACTCAACCATCTTTAATTTTTAACTCTAAAAAGAAAAAGGAGAACGTTTTATTCAATAATTACATGAGAACCATCTAGTATTTTTTTCAATATTTTTTTCAAAAGTCAGTATGCAATGTAATTCAGTAATGATCTAATTGATTAGCCAAATGACAAGGTTTTCCTATAAGAGTTAAAATTATCTTATGGCAGCTATACACATGAACACTAAAATTCCATTACAATGCCCTTATAATCAACCTTCAAAAAGGAAAGAGTACCATCCACAACATGACATGCATCTGACGAAGTGGGTATTCACCCACGAAAGCACATGCTCCAATACGTCTGTTAGTCTATAAGGTGCCACAGGACTCTTTGCCATCCACAGCAGGATTCAATTTAGGATTAGACAGTTATGTGACTAGGATTAGTAAAGATGTGCAATTTATACTAGTTAGGATAAGCATTTGAGGAGAGAGAAAACCTCATGCTTGATATTAGAGTCTTCCCAAAGGTGTAATTACCAACATTACAATTTATGGCATATTTTAAACTTTCCTCTGAAGTCTCTGATGCTAGCTGCTGTCAGACAGTCAGGAATGCAAGAATCCAGCACCATTCCTTAAAAATAGTGTTTGAACTATTAATTCTGAAGAAAGAAAACTGTATTCGATGTGCCGGTTGATATGTATCTACTTATATTCAATCTACTTTGTCATTATGGGAGTTAGCACTACCTCAAATGAGAAAGCATTCAGCTAGTTTCTAATGAATCAGTGTTTCATCAGACTGACACAGATCCATATTGTCTTTTTAGTGCTTGAAGTTTTAGCTTGTTTCCCTTCATGTCACAAATGCAGTCATGGTTTTGTGGTCTATAATTAAGAAACCAAGGTAAAAGTTTCTTTGTATACAAACTCTTAAAAATATGGCTTGATTCAGACAGCACTGCCCTACATTTTTAGGATCAAGTTGATATTTAATAGGCGAAGGATAGTTTAGTCAACAAGCATTTGTAGTAACCAATGATTTGTAGGTGTTTCAGAATACCTGTGTCTAAAAAATGAAACATTTTTAAAAGAGGAGTTAAGCTGGTGTTTTCTTCATGTGTTTTCACATTAAGCACTGTGTATGTTTATCAGTAACAGGGCATTAGGATATAGTAAGCATGAAAGCTTCAAAGAACCCTACGCTCCTTGTTGTTCCTTCAGAAAGGATAAGACATTCATCTTGTTTAACAGAGATAAACTTAATTGGTCTTAAAGTATTCCCCTTCTCTTCCTTTAGTCAGCACAGTTTTGTATTGATGGTCACAATTTACTTACTAAAAATGTAATCTGTAGTAACAAATTAAAAACAGCTCGAAGCAATTAAAAATGGTGAAAAACAGAACTGGTGATAGTACAAGGTTTCTTCTTGCAAAAGAGAAAGTGTGAAAGGCGTGAGGCACGAGAATACTTCCAAAATGAGGCAACAGAGGTTGAGGAAAACTTACAGAAAGCATACTTCATGATATTCATGTTCAGTTATCTGTTTTTACATCATCTCCTACTTGCGTCACTTTTCTCAGAATAGTTCATTTGTTAATCTTTAATAAAAGGTTGCCAGTGAAAGTATTCCTATTTTTATTCTTACTGTTGCAAGCCCCATTTTTAGAGGATTTTTTAAAGTGATTATTGGCACCTGTTACAAGCATTCTGGAGAAGTGACAGACACATTAATGAATTTAAAGACAGATACATAGATACACTAACAAGTTGGTTAATACATTTAAACTTTTGCATTTTCTAGTTGTATGTATATCTGTCACAAGAACATATCACCACAGAACTACACCAAGTTTTAAATCACATTTCAGTTGGTTTACTATACATTATCATCATTCCCCTTACTGAATTCACTGTTTGTCTAAATTCACTTCTGGTAATTGTATATAATCAAGTGAAACATGTGTGGTGGGAAGATGAAAAGTCATTCAGAAAATCATTTCAGGCATGCAATTTGACTCTAAATCTTAATTTAATACTTAAGATATTTGCAGTATGTTTACATGCTTCTGCAACTTTCATCACATAATTAATTGTGGGATGATAGCTACAGACTTCATTCACAGACTTGCCAGCGCTCACTCAGGGAAAGGGAGGTGCTCTTTCATTCTGGAGCTGGATTTGGCTAATTGCTCAATGATTTAGAATCTTGCTGTCAAGGTTCCTCCCCCACTCTGAACTCTAGGGTACAGATGTGGGGACCTGCATGAAAAAACCTCCTAAGCTTATCTTTACCAGCTTAGGTCAAAACTTCCCCAAGGTACAAAATATTCCCCCCGTTGTCCTTGGACTGGCCGCTACCACCACCAAACTAATACTGGTTACTGGGGAAGAGCTGTTTGGACGCGTCTTTCCCCCCAAAATACTTCCCAAAACCCTGCACCCCACTTCCAGGACAAGGTTTGGTAAAAAGCCTCACCAATTTGCCTAGGTGACTACAGACCCAGACCCTTGGATCTTAAGAACAATGAACAATCCTCCCAACACTTGCACCCCCCCTTTCCTGGGAAATGTTGGATAAAAAGCCTCACCAATTTGCATAGGTGACCACAGACCCAAACCCTTGGATCTGAGAACAATGAAAAAGCATTCAGTTTTTTACAAGAAGACTTTTAATAAAAAATAGAAGTAAATAGAAATAAAGAAATCCCCCCTGTAAAATCAGGATGGTAGATATCTTACAGGGTAATTAGATTCAAAAACATAGAGAACCCCTCTAGGCAAAACCTTAAGGTACAAAAAAGATACACAGACAGAAATAGTTATTCTATTCAGCACAATTCTTTTCTCAGCCATTTAAAGAAATCATAATCTAACACATACCTAGCTAGATTACTTACTAAAAGTTCTAAGCCTCCATTCCTGTTCTGTCCCTGGCAAGAGCAGCACACAGACAGACACAGACCCTTTGTTTCTCTCCCTCCTCCCAGCTTTTGAAAGTATCTTGTCTCCTCATTGGTCATTTTGGTCAGGTGCCAGCGAGGTTACCTTTAGCTTCTTAACCCTTTACAGGTGAGAGGAGCTTTCCCCTGGCCAGGAGGGATTTCAAAGGGGTTTACCCTTCCCTTTATATTTATGACACTTGCTTTTTAAAAGCTCTCCTTTCAAAGTATCGGAGATGACTGCAGAGGACAGCTTGGTACTTGGGAGATCAGAGGACTAGTCACACATGGTGTATATTCTAATTTGACGGCAGCCGCAGGTTGGGAATGGTGTGCCAGCCCCAGTCACTCTCTGCGAAGTAATGAGAGCCCAGGCCCTGTGAGGGCTCCTGCTGGCGGGGGCGGCATAACTTGCCCGGGACCCTCCCCCCATATCCGGAAAGCAGGCAGTTCAGCTGTAGCCCCCTCATGGGACACGTGGGGGAGGAGGCACGGAGACGAGCCCTTTGGGCCCTTCTTGCTCAGCCTGAAGTCTTAGGGGCAGCGCACCCCCCCGCCTCAAGCCGGGTGACTGCCCCGCCCGTGCTAGGTCTGCGAGACCCGTTCTCCCCGCCCCGTCCCACAACGATCCCAGAAAGGGACGCCACAGCTGCAGCCCGCACCTGCTTCCCGCCCCAAAACGCCGGACCGCAACCACAGCAGGCGACGACGCGCGGCCACAGCCCACTGGGCGGCCGAGAGGCAGGAAGGGGCGGTCCTCCCAGAACACCCGTACGATTGGACGGCAGGGCCGTCACCAGCTGAAAACTGATTGGCTGATGCTTCCCATAAATTTCCACCCCTGCGCCCCTCCAGGGAGACTGTGTCGCGTCAGCGCCCCCTAAGGGTAGATGGGCGGTGCTGCACCCCCCCTTCATCTCAAATCGGGGCAGGGCCGCTCGGGTCTCGCCGCAGATTATGTCAGTGCCGAGGCGAAAGGGGCGGGGGGACGGAGGAGAGGCTCAGAAATAGCCCGGTGACTGCAGCTGCCGGGCTGAGCCGTGGAGTAGATGCGGCAGCAGTTACTACCAGCCGCAAACCAGGCGCCGCCTCAGCGGCAGGAGGGGAGCTGCCGGACGCCCTGCGTGGGCTGAGCAGGGGGGTCAGCCATGGCCAGTCGCGGCAGCTGCCCCGAGGAGGAGGAGAGGGAGGAAGCCGCCCTGAGGAAACTGACCGTTCGCCTCACGAACGTGCAGGAGGGGACGCCGCTGGAGAGCTTGCTGCAGACGCTGGAGGACCTGCTGGCCTTGGCCCACCGGCCCCGCGGTGAGGTTCCTGTCCCGGCGGGTCGGGCGCCCACCAGGGCTCCCCGGCTCTGCCCCGGCGAGTAACGGGCTCTTGTTTTGTTTCCTCCCCCCCGCAGCGCCCCGGCTGTTCGGCGGCCGAAACGTCCACGTGCCGGTGCTGCTGGTGTTGGACTCCTACCCGCGAGTGGTCGCGCTGCAGCAGGTAAAGGCCTCGGCCGCCTCTCCTGGCGGCCTCCCCTCCATCCCCAGCTGCCCGCTGTCAAGCCCGCGGGCCAGAGCCGCCTGGCCCAGCCCCCTTGGGAGCGACGGGGCCCAGCCCCAGCCTCCCCGCAGCTTCGCGGGAAGTTTGGTTTCAGAGCCAAACGGTGCGCGGCTGGTCCTGATTGTCTCATGAGCCAAATCGAAACTCACTCGGCCTTCGGGACGGTCCAGCTCCGTGCCAGACGCTAACCATCAGCCATGGCAGTAAAATTGAGCTCTCACCAGGGCAGGGGCCTCTGGTGGAAGGGGCGGGATGGGGGCGTCAGCGCAGGGGTCCTCCCCCACCCCATGCATCCGACGAAGTGGGTATTCACCCACGAAAGCCTATGTGCTAATATGTCAGTCTATAAGGTGCCACAGGCCTCTTTGCCACATTAAAGAGAAACACACAGAAGCGGATTAAAAGTAAATAACAATATACCATTTACCATTTAAATCTGTGGAATTCAGTTATCCAAGTTGCTTTTTTTTCTTCTGTGTCAAATTACTTGGAAAATTTTAAGAAACAGATTAATGTAATAGTGGTACCTATTATATACTAATAATATTACCAATATATTCTACGATTATCATGGACCACTGCTCTAGAATACTAATGATTTTTAATGGCTAAAGTTTGTTGTCACCTGTTTGCTTATTTGAATTATTTTCTTTGTCTTTCTAAATACTAAACCAAAATAAAGCAAACAAGTATATTTATAAATTATGTAAGTACTGTACTGCACAAATTTCCAAATCACATATGGTATCATATGCTACAAATGTGATATAATATTGGATGTATTCCAGTATTTTTCTTAAACATAGCAGGGTGTGTTAAGAAAGTGACATCTGACTTAACTAGCCACTGTCACGCACAGGAAAACCTCAGAAACAAAGCAGGGGAAATTCTGCAGTTTAAGATTCTGCTTGGTTATCTCTGTAATATAAGACTGACTCATTTTCATATTAAATATTGCAGGTGCTTTTCCATGTCATTGCCAGAAAACACATATAAAACAGATCCTTCCTGTCAATCACATAAAATAAAATGTATGTTACCCCCAAAGGATATTTACAGACAATATTACCTCTGTATGGCTGGTTTGTATTTTTTTTTAATAAATGTGAATGATTGCAATTGTTTTCATCTTTTAAAATTTCGGTTTGTTAGGAAGCAAAATATTAAAATCCCCCACAAATATATCTATTTTAAATAATGGGAAAGGTCGAAGTTAAAACACACACAATTAAAAAAATTCAGAGTAAGCAATAAATTGTATTCTTGACTCTCCTTGTGATGTATAGTTATTGTAATAACAATGAAATAGTAATTCTTTGCACTGCTATTATACCTTTTCCTTTGAGGATCTCAGAGCAATGTGGGGAATCTGAAACTTTAATTTCCTGGCTCACTATTCAATTATCACATAGGTAAAGGATTTATAGAGCCATTACTTTTAGGATCGAACCCAGCAATTGTTTAGCAATAGCAAAATGATGCAGAAGTTTAGAATAGGAAGTAAAAAATATCTCAGACTGAAACTTTAGGGGAAATTTTGGAAAACTGCATAAGGGAGAAAGTAATGACTGTACCTGAGCTGCAAGTGCAGGGCACTGAGATAATATCTTTAACTCACCTTTAATAGTTGGTTTTAAAATGAAGTTTCAGCCTTCTGTCTGAATTTCTTAACCTTTATGAGTTTACTTTAAGGGGCTACAAAAAGTCTAATGTTGTTTTAACCAAGCCCATAGCTAGTATGCAACTCAAATCCTTCACATCACAAAATGCTGCAGTCATCCTTTCCTCTTTTCCCTAATGCTGTAACAATTTTAAATATACTATACACTAACTGTACTCAGTCTTCCCTGCTTCATTCATTGTGATGCAGTCACAATAACTGTGGGATTCTTGAATCTGAGTTTATGGTGAGGACAGTGTGCTGTACAATAACGCCTCACTTAACATCGTCCTGGTTAACGTTGTTTCGTTGCTACGTTGCTAATCTATTAGAGAACACGCTCGTTTACAGTTGCGCAATGCTCCCTTATAACATTGTTTGGCAGCCACCTGCTTTGTCTACTACTTTCAGGAAGAGCAAGCAGCCCATTGGAGCTAGCTGGTGGGGGCTTGGAACCAGAGTGGACCGGCAGCCCCCCCTATCAGCTCCCCTAAGTTCCCTGTGCGGCAGCTGCCCAGCAGGCTATCAATTGCCAGGCAGTTCACCTGTCCCTGCCCACATTACCGTATGGTGCTCCTGCCCTCTGCCTTGGAGCTGCCCCCAGGAGCCTCCTGCTTGCTGTGCGGGGGGGGCGGGTGTGCTAATGTCAGGGTGTCCCCCTTCCTCTGCTCCTGTACCCCATCTCCATAGAGCCGGGGGGGGGGGGAGTGGAAATGAAAGGGCTCAGGATGGACGGAGGGAGCTTGCTGGCAGCAGCTGCTGTCTCAACTTGCTTATCTACTTAAAAAGGCAGTGTACTTACTTAAAGGGGCAATGGCCATCTCTCTCACACACACGATGTATGTCTCTGTCTCTCTGCCATGCAGTGTCTCCTCCCTTCATTCGTGCTGCCTTGTAGAGTGTGAGGCTACATTAACAACGATGTGTTAACCCTTGAGGGCTCAGCCGAGTGCTAGTTCATCATTTAGCAGTAAGGCATTCCCTGGGAAACATCCCACCCTCTGACTCCACCACCTCAACCAAGCTTCACAATCATCATTGCTGTATACAGTATTAAATTGTTTAAAACTTATACTGTGTGTATGGATAGATAGTCTTTTGTCTGGCGAAATTTTTTTACGTGGAACCGAACCTCACCTATTTACATTAATTCTTTTGGAGAAATTGGATTCGCTTAATGTCGTTTCGCTTAAAGTACCATTTTTCAGGAACATATCTACAACTTTAAGCGAGGAATTACTGTAGATGCTCCATTTTGCTACAGCATGTCTACACTAACAACTGCTTTTCAATGTACAGGTTAATGGATCAGTAGCTCTTTCTGATTTGTGGCACTGAAGTGAAATTGACCAATGTTTTGAGGTTTGTCTGAGTAAGGGCAGTGTCTGGACTGATTAACAAATTTCCTTCTGGCTCAGCTTGCCACACAGTGATTTGCTGCTGTATCATCAACTCACACAAAGTGAACCTCTACTTCTTAGTAGATCAGTATTGTAGATACCAGGGCAAGTTGGACTATTAATACAGACCTCACAAACTTCTCTACAAACAATGGGAAAGCTACTGATCTCCAATAAGTCAAAAATAATAATGCCTTAGACAGAACAGATACCATATTTAGTAAGTACTGTAACAACTACAGTTTCTGCGATCGCTGACGGTCAGATTGATGCTGCTTAAATAGTAGAGGACCAGACATGTTTAAATTCAAGTAAGTGAATGGCTATCATTGAAACATTACTGGCTCAATTCACTACGCATACTAGTAATGAAAAGGGAACCAATGTTAAAATAACAGAATATTAGTAATGCCACCAAATGGGGTCTTATGTAAATGATCCAGTTTAGTACCTGTAAGAATGTTTTTATTTATTTATTTTCCTTTCAATTTGGGCTTTAGGCTCTCGGACAATTATTTAAGATACAATCATTTGCTTACAGTGTTACTAGACAAAGGCTAAGAACCCTAAAAGCTCTGGGGGTTTTATATCAACATTGAAAGAGGGATCTTATGTTAGCACAGGGGTGGACAAACTTTTTGGCCTGAGGGCCATATCTGGGAATATAAATTGTATGGTGGGCCATGAATGCTCACAAAATGCACACAGGAGGGTGTGAGGGCTCTGGTTTGGGGTGCGGGCTCTGGGGTGGGGGCCAGAAATGAGGAGTTCAGGATGCGGGCGGGAGATCCGGGGGGCGGGGGTGAGGGCTCTGGGGTGGGGCTGGGGATGAGGAGTTTGGGGTGCAGGAGGGTGCTCCGGGCAGGGACTGGGGTTTGGCGGGTGGGAGGGGGATCAGGGCTGGGGCAGGTGGTTGGGGCGCAGGGAGAGGCTCAGGAGTGCAAGCTCCAGGCGGCGCTTACCTCAAGCAGCTGCCGGAAGCAGCAGCATGTCCCTTCTCCAGCTCCTACATGGAGACGCGGCTTGGCGGCTCTGCACGCTGCCCTGATTTGCAGGCACTGCCCCTGCAGCTCCCATTGGCTGCAGTTCCTGGCCAATGGGAGCTGCAGGGGCAGCACTTGGAGTGGGAGCAGCATGCAGGGCGGAGGCCCCTGGCTGCCCCACGTGTAGGAGCTGGAGGGGGGCCATGCCGCTGCTTCCGGGAGCTGCATGGAGTGGCCCCCGACCCTGCTCTCTGGCTGGAGCGCTCGAGTGGGGCAAGACCCAGATCCCACTCCCCAGTGGGAGCATGAGGGCCAGATTAAAACAGCTGGTGGGCCGGATTCGGGCCGTAGTGTGCCCACCCCTGTATTAGCACATTAGATACTTGCTTTACATTTTTCAGTGTGTACTGGGTCCTTAAAATAATAAAAAATTTGGTATGATACAAATCTGGATTTTATAAGGAAAATGTATTGGGCAACAAGAAGGGGGAACTAAAAAAAACCCACGTATAAAGCTAAGTTTTATAATGTTCTACATTTTATAAAGAACAGTAGAGTTAGATGAGGCTGGGGGGGAGACTTTCAAAATACAGTCTTTGTTAAGCAATGCAAACACATTCGTTTTTGAACACTGTACTTAGTTCAGCAGCTAGAAAAGGGAAGACGTGTTTTGAACATGAAAGCCTTATGCTATTTCCAGTTTGTTCTATAACTATGTATGGCTTACTGGTACAGATCTCTGAAATCATGTTATCTTTTGTGACATTTTTTACATTTAAACATGACCCACAATTAAAACAAAAAGAAAAGGAGGACTTGTGGCACCTTAGAGACTAACCAATTTATTTGAGCATAAGCTTTCGTGAGCTACAGCTCACTTCACTGTAGCTCATGAAAGCTTATGCTCAAATAAATTGGTTAGTCTCTAAGGCGCCACAAGTACTCCTTTTCTTTTTGCGAATACAGACTAACACGGCTGTTACTCTGAAACCTGTAATTAAAACAAATTGACAATAACAAGTCATCAATATTTTTTTCACAGAACCAGACAATAATTGAAACAATTCATTTATGAAACACACATTCCATAAATATTTAAAACAATAATTCTGTCTATGTAGCCAAAATCTTTTCTTAGGGCTTTATTATGGCTTTAAGGCACATAGTCCTATGGTGTGGGAAGTGCATCAGGAGCTCAGGGTGGCATTTTGTCTGATTCAGAAACAACGCCTCTGGGAAACATAGCTTCCATGCCACCTTTTGCAGGAGTGCTGGATTCATTTTTCCCATTCTATGTGGGACGATGGCCTTCTTCTGCCCTGTTCTTCATTCATTTTGCAGATGTTAGAACCACTAAGAGTGAGGAGGGTCTTGTGGAGTTCTTGCATTTAGAGGACTACAAGGGACAGATTCTGTGCAATCCCTGCACAGATGTGCAAAGGGGAGGAGGTTCCTGTGCTCTCTCCCTTTTCCACCATCTCCTCCTTCTGAACCTTCTTGCACCTGTTCAGGTCCAGGCACAATCCAGCTTTCTATATGTGGTTGAGCCTGTTGTGGAAAGAATGTTCTGAAGGAACCTATGTTGGTCTGAAAGTGATAACTTAGTTACTGTCACTTATTAATTGTATTTTTGTCTTGATTATGGAGGATTACGTAACAAAAGTATATGTATGTATATATGAGTCCAATTATGGAATGAATTGGTGTCCTCCAAGTGACCAAATAACTGAAATGCAAAATCACCCACGACAAATGATACCCTTACTGTCAGTCTGAGCAGGGGTGGCCCGTTAATATAGGTGAACTAGGCGGTTGCTTAGGGTGCCAAGTTGGGGAGCCAAATTTGAGGGGAAAAAATCAAATACAAAAAAAAATAAAATGGGAAAAAAAGCTGTCATTATTTCAAT